CCTGCAGCTAAGTTATTTATTTATTTATTTATTTTCAGTACATGGATCTGTTTATTGAGCTTTGGAGTACCTAGCAATTGTTGTGTGTGTTTTCCTGACTCCTCTTGCTGAGGTTAGGTGTGCTCCCCATTGCTGGCTTCTTCAATCTGCTTTATTTTCTTTGCTCCTTTCCTTTTTGCCCTCTTGGAGTCATCTTCTTAACCAGTAAGTTTCATCTGTCTCTGAAGGTAAGGGATGTGTTTCCCATCGGCTGGCAGGAGAGCAAAGGTGGGTCCGGAATGGCCCTCACTGGCAACAGGAGCCAAGGGCCGACCTGCCCTGGGCCGGTTCAGGTGGGCTGGGGAGCCGCGGGCAGAAGAGGAGCACGAGTCCTCTTAGCTGGAAGCGCTCCCCAAGGGTAAATAAGCAAACAGGCAACACACCAGAAAGAAATGCCACCCCGGAACGTGTCTCACAGCCGCATTTCTGCCCTGCACTGCAGAAGTACCCTGTGCCTGACATTCCTGTCCCTGCTGTTTTCCTGTGCTGCAGCAAAGAGGCTTCAGCTCCCTCTAGTGAGGAGCTGGRTTTTGGTTCTGTTGGAGCAACATTCCCATTACCCCACGGCAGGTGAGAACGGAAACATGGATAMCTCCTTTTGCAGGGGAACGGGCCTGACTGACCTTGCTAGAAGAGAACAGGCTGTCAAAACTGGGCAACCAGAGCCCCTCAGAAGACGGGGATAGGTGAATATGTCCCGTTTTTGCTTACACGGGACAAAACCCGTCTCACCGAGCTGCTGGTTATGCGCACTTGTCTTCCTGAGGAATAGATACCTATCAGGTGCACACAAAAATACCGCAGCTCTTTTGCAGTACTAGTTCAAAAGCCATTAATAACCCTTCCCTTGAGCAATATGAGCAGTATTAAATGCTACCCAGAATATGATATTTGGGAACATGACACAGATGATGTGAGATCCATTAAAGTGCACAGTGTGCTATGGCAAAGGTCAATGACACTTCAGATCATTAATTAACAACATGATAGAATAAGTTCTTCTCCCAGAGGATCTTAGTCCTCCTTTGAGAGAAGGTGAACATTATTTTTTTTGCCGATAGGAAACAATTTGGACGTTGTTTTCTCTATGAATTGCACTGATTTCTGTGTTGTAGCTAGTTCTAGTAAGATCTTCAGCTTACACAACCAGTCCAGGCACCATCCTGGTAGTGGCAGAGGATCGGGGCAGGTCTTGGGGCTTCTGGAATGGCGCAGTTGGGAAGAGAAGGCATCTCCCTGGGAAGCAGAACGTGAGGGTGTGCTAGCACCGCGTGTTAGTGAGGGAAGCAGTGGCAATGATAAGAAACTGCAGGTTTGGTGTAATCCCTGCAGCTGGCCACAGGCTACGGGCACTCAGCCACCTTCTCATGGTGCAATGGGAACAATTTTGTGCCGGGGAAAGCACTAAAGGCAAGGAACGATCCCAGGTCATTTCTTTGTTTCTACCCAAGTAGTTAGGTAAGAAAGAGTTGTTGCTTTATAAGCTRTGGTTCTATAAACAGCATCCTCAATTGTCTGGAAAGGTGGCCACAGCATGAGGGCTTGAGAAGCTTTGTGCCTAAAGCAATGCAAGAATGGGGTGTAAAGCCCAGCTTCTGGTGTGGACAAACACAGGGGCAGGAGTGAGAGGGCCGTGCTGCACAGAAYTGTCCTTCTCCTGCACTCCTGTGGCCACCTAAAGCTGTCTGAAATGTGGATTTCTCTCCATGCTCTTTCAGAGTGGCCTGAATCACACAGACACTGCTAAGTCTGCTCTTCAGGGACTGGTTTTAATTTGGAAATGCTACTTTGAGCCGTATTAAATAAACCACTTCTGCTACTCTGTGCCTTATCTTCTCCTCAGTTGGGCCTACGAGTAAGGAGCTGTTAGATAATGCAAAAATTAGGAGAATAGCACCTAAGTTCATTAGGCAATAAAATTAATTCACCAAATGTAATTGCATGAGCAGAAGACCGGTAATTCCTGTTCTCCCCAGTTTCACAGAAACTCCACCCAGTTAAGCTCTCGGGGCGCATTAGGGACGTCAGGCACGAAGCCAATGGGGCAGAGCAGGGACGCGGCGGGTGACGCAGCACCTGGCCATTGGTGGCTCCTGGGCGAAGGTCAGGCACGAGCCTGACCCGCTCAAGTACCGCACGCAGGATCTATTCGGCAGCTTGTGGTTCTGATGAACTTTGCTCGTTCTCCGTTACATCCAGACGATCTGGTGGAGTTTTACTGTCCTCTAAAGCCTCCATTCCTCAAAGCGCGTCACTGCCGTCCTGGGGAAGGGACCTGGTGGCTCCCAGCCTCCCACCGCGTCTCCAGCGCTGCTGGCTTGTCCGGCATTCCAGTCATACTTCTCTTTCTTGCTGCCTCCAATGAAGTCATCCTCTCTCCTCTTCTTCCTGACCTGTTCGGAGTGCCATGGCATGTGGGTTGCTGACGAGCACAGCTTCCTTCTGGTGAGTTGAGGGAGACGGTTCTTACTGCTAACTTCTGTGACGCTCATTCAGATCTGCACCTCCCATTCTTGTTGGGAGCTGGAGCAGTTTCCTATCAGAAAATCAGCTTGCTTGGAAGTGCCTGCTTGCTTGCTGTTCCTTGCAGCTGCCTTCCTTTGCTCCTGTTCGCCTCGGCTCTTCCACAGGCGCGTTCCTGGAGCGGTGGGTGAGGAGCGGCGGGGAGTGGGGACAGGATGCGAGCAACCAGAACGAGTTAGTGGGTTTCATTCGCACTAAGGAGATCGTAAACCCGATGATCTCTTGGACCAGCAGTGATTCACAGCAGCGGGTAGTGCTAATGCAAAAAAAAACTAAATCACCTTTCCCAGGTGATAAGAAAACAGCTTTCATATTTGTGCCATGGCTGCGCGTGCCTGCCCTGCCTGTCCCCCTGCAGCTGAGGGGACAGCAGAGCCGAGCACCCTAGGCAGGAGCTTGGGCGTCAGGACCCCCCAGGGCTCGGGGGGTCGCTCGCCCGCTCACTGGTTGTCTCTCCGTATGCAGAAGAGCACTCAAGAGTGTGCTGAGGATTAATTATTCTGTTAGTTCAAATGCTTCAAATTAGTTAACAAATCAAATGCATTTATTACTGTACAGAAACACTCAGAAATATTCCTAAACCTTAGGGTCCTAAATTAATGTGCAGTGTTTACAGTGCTGCATCAGCGTCCTCCTCCTGCTGGCAGTGAGCTCAGTGGGATGCTGCTTTTCCACCCTGGCAACTTAAAAAAATCCTAGTGCAATGCACAGCACGAGGCGTTGTGGAGCCAGCTCTGTGCAACCACCTCCTGGAGCGCTCTGCTTTTTTTCATTTCAAGGAAGTTTCTCTTCTAGATTTAAGATCTTATACAGCAATGTGAAAAACCCCAAATGTTGCAGCCTCTGTATATATTTGGGGGGGGGGGGGAAAAAAACACTTTTGTTCCTTCTTGCTTCTGTTCCTGGATSATTGCATAAGGCAGAGGAACCCCAGCCCAGCGTCAGCACCGTCACAGACACTGAGCACTTCCACTTGCCAGGAGATTCAGCAGGTGTCGGTCAGAAGGRATCCGGAGGACCCGCAGAACGTGGTTCTGTGAAGTGCTGGGGAAGTCAGGCAGCATGAGCAGAAATGCAGAGATTTGATTGTTCAGGATTAGAAAAGTGCAGAAAAATGCCATCTATAATGCAGAAGAAAAGAGCATTTCAGTCAGTATAGCCCCAGTTCTCCTCAAAGTGAGTTATGAACCTTTTCCAATCTAATTTTGAGAGTTAAGAGCTTCTAAAGAACTGGATAATGTTGTTAGCTGGCCTGATCCAGCTGTGCAAAGGTAATTAGAAGAGTTCTTATTGCTCATCTGTTTATATCCCATCCCTTATTTGAGCATTACAGGCCAGGCAGGCGGAAAGCAGGGAGGATCTGAAATCCATGCTGTGCATGTGGCTGCCTGTTCCTGCTCACGGGCAGCTCTGCTCTTCCCTGTGCCCAAGGAATCGTTTTTCAGCTCCAGGTTGTCTGCACTAAATCCTCATTTAATAGACTGTTGCTTCAGTGATTTGCAGGGCTCTGTGTCATAAAGGAGAGATTTGGAGGTTTTAAGTTCATAAGAAGTTGAGGACTTTGGGACAGCAAATAGTGTCCTGCGATACTGTGTGTCTAAGCCCTCAAATCAGATCTGATCTAGAGCCAATAAATGGACAAATGAAGGTGTAATCCTGGAATTTCTATGAGCTGAGGGATAATATTGAGCTAACAGAGAAATTCAGTGGCCAGCGAGGACATTATCTGATAAAACTGAGTGCTTCTGGAAACATCATCCTGTGGTTAGCTGCCTGCAGTAACACCTTGCCTTACTTGGGCATCTTTCATCTTGACATACAGAAAGGTTGACAGACATCAATTAGCGACACCTYGCAGTGTCCCCATGGGATTTTCAAGATCTGTATTGACTGTGAATCTGAGGAAAGGTATTAAAATACCAAGAGATGACTTTTTTGAAAGCCTAACCCGAATGTCTTTTGCTGTAAAATAAAACTTATTTCTTCTTCTCCCTCTAGTGGATATGGAGAGCAGTTTGTTATCATTCATGTAGGGACCTTTACATTGTTGCTGAATGCCATGGTGCTGCTACAGGTAGCTCTAGGCTTGCTATGGATGCTGGCAGCACCAGGCCTGGAGACCCTGGAGGGGTCTCTGCTGCAGAGCCTCCCTTGGTGTGTTGTCCACAGGGTTCACACTACCCCGAGATGGAAAACGGACTCCAAACCCTTTCTGAAGGAAAATTGGGAATAATAGGAGGGATCAGCTCCGTCCTGGTCTCCATGTCTTGGTCTGTGTCACGGTGGTGTTTTCTGGCTTTGCTTTGGATGCACTGCAGGGTGAAGCAACAAGTTCAGAGCACCACGTGTGACTTCAGCGCAATCAAGTTCCGAGCCGGGGCGACACGAGTGTTCCTGGCTGCGTGTTTGTAACGGGCCTTCGTGCTCTCTCTCCACAGAGTCGCCCCCGGAGAGGTGTGGGCAGAGGCGCAATATGCCCAGTGGGGGCCCCGAGAAGAACCCTGCCATGGAGCCCGCCGCCACAACGCCCTTCCGCGTCACGGTGAGTGACTCCTCCCAGCTCAGCAATGATATGTTAAGAGAAATTATTTCCAGCATATAATGGAGGCTGAATTAAGGCTGCTTAATTCCATCACTTTTCACATATAGGATAAAAATTTCACCCTCTCTRTATAGTTTGCCTTTCTACCTCACCTTCCTTCATTAACCAGAAGAGGAACATTAAACAGTCAGTCCACTCTAGCCATGGGGAATAGTAATTARTGCTCTAGCTTAGCAGTAATGCAATTATTACTTTTGAGCTTGCTGCTGTAGGTTTTGATGCGAAGTTTTCATGCTTCACAGCTGGCAGCTCTTCCCTGACATCTCCATCCTTCTGCTACTGAGTCTCCAGGGGATGGATAAGCTCTGGAGCGAGTGGATTGGCAGGGTTGTGCTCTCAGTTCCTTTCTTTCATTTGAAATCTAAAGCAATTTATTTGGAAATGCCTCCTTTCCCAAGCAGAAGTTTGCCAAGCAAATGCTGAATGGACTTTTGGAAAAATATCAATTTCTGATGGGTTTTGAGTTGTAGAGTTCTCCCTATTGTGTAGAACTTTGAAAATCAACCTTTAAGATTTCAACATCTCATTTTTTTGAATTAGCTGTTCCTTTTTCTTCCACATTGAGAAATTAGAGCTTCTTAAAGATTAGGGRAAAAAAAAGCCCCTCATCTATGCATCTCATGGTGTAAAATGATAATTTTCCACTTAAACCCATCTCACTGAGTTTTGTGCTCCCCAAAGTTTCTATGGTGACTTTCCTTCCAACTCATTCGAGTACTGCCATCTGTTGACTGCTTTTGTTAGGGCCTTATTTTGGGTGCCCTGTGATGCAAAGTTGTTTCCCAACACTTCTGGCTCTTCGGCTTGGGTGCACAGCTGAATTTCCAGTGATATTATAAACTACTCGTATGGCATCCCGCTATCATGGTTTTAATCTTTGATAAATGAAGTATTAAGTGCTAATGGCATCATTCCAGTACATAGAAACAACTGGAGAGATTAAAGTTAAGAAACCTTCTACCATTGCTCTTCACTGAACGTAATCCTAAATGATGGGATCCTAACTCAAGCTGTTGTGGACTAGATATTAAAGGATTTTCCTCAAGTTTTTGTTGGTATATAATATATACTATTTGTCATTTCATTTCGAACAATTTTTTCAAAAGCAACCATGTAAATTATATTTAAATAGTTTGAATTTGAGAATTTATCTTGCTGTAATGACTGAGGAGCCAAATGGTGCTTCCTTCAGCATCCCATCTTTAATTGAAATGTAATTGTTTACTAAACTCTTCCAAGGAGAAAAGAAAATTACTGTCATTTTGGTCTGTGGCTGCATGCATTAGAGCACCCCTTTTGCTGGGGATTGAATTCGAGGAGAATGGGAGCATTATCACAAATGATATATAAACAGAAAGCTATTATCATTAAACTGTCAACTGCAACTGARTTTGGGGATGGAGTGCTAGTGGGAGCAAGAAACATGTGAATTCCTTTGCGAACATTTCTGTCGATCCAGTCCCCACGGTGTGGAACAGGACGTACCTGGAAGCGTTGGCTCCGGAGCGCTTGGGGTGCAAAGCAGAGGTGGGCTCGGCTCGGGCGCTGGCTCAGGGCCCCGGTGCGGTTCCGCAGGGCTCGGCAGCGCTGGGGCAGGAGCCCTCGCGTCCGGCCGCGCGGGCCAGGCCGGGTACCCGCCGTGCACAGGGGTTTCCTCCTAACGCCGCTTGCTTGGGTAGGTTTCCAAGCTCTCCACAAAGGTGGCTAATTATTATCGTCCTCTTTTTACAGCAGGGAAAACTAAAGTAGGGGAACGTTAACTAACTTAACTGTGATCATGCAGCAAAATTGGGAAATATGTCCTGAACTGAATTTCTTAATTTCTAATTCCCAATCCTGATGCTAGCTACTAAGTTACTCCTAATTACCTTTCACATCTCAGAAATCCTTCTGCAGTTTCAAGAGAATGAAGTGCTCCTTTCCAACCCGATGGTTCTTCGTGAAAGTGACAGAGTGGATTTCTGGGCCCTGCTGCCTCTGCCAGCGCCCAGGGTCAGCATGGTTTCTATTGCTTTTATAATTAGATATCTCTGTCTTATTTTTCTATGCCACCTTGTTAATGTAGATCTCTGTGTATGTTTGCCCTTTAAGTTTTGTGTRTAGTTTATGAACTATAGGATAAATTCTAGTTGAGACATGGAAGTTAGACTTTGTTAGAAAAAAATGAATTCTTTTTCCTTAGTGCTAGCACAAGAACTGGAAAATGAAACTATTGATCGTTTCAATAATTATGTGAGACTCATTATAATTATGTGAGTCTGGCCTTGCATATTTCAAGTTTTCAAAGGAGGTTTTGCTTGTCCATTAGGGTGAAAAACAGCACATTTAACGAAAGATGTGTGGGATTGTCAGATTTCAGCACAGAGCTGCTGTGCAAACCGCTGTGGATTTATGATGTGCATCAAGCAGAAGACAGGAATGACAGGATAAAAGACCTGGTGCTATGACCTGCTTCACTGAAAAGGGCTCAGCAAGGCAGAGCATGTTTTTTTTTTCCTTTTTGAAGTGAACATATTCCAGGGAGGTCTCTCTTTCAGAGCCTGCAGCTGTCTAAAGGACGCTTGGACGGAAAGGAGGAGGCAGGAGGGCTTAGCAGCAGCTTAATTCACATGCCAAGGCCACTTTCCTTTAACAGCCCTGGTAATCCTGTCCTGGTGTCTGTGGGCTGGAGCACGGCCTGGATGGGTGACTCCTGATTGCTGTGGGACCGACCAGCAAGGTCCCCTCCTGCAGGACAGGGCTGTGCAGGGCGGTGGCAAGAAGGAAGGAGCCAGTGCTGTTGGCGTCTGCTGATGAACTCCTTTAGCTTGTTTCTGGGTCACAGATAAAGAATTATCCTGCAGAAATAAAGGGTAGGATACAGAATGCATTCCATTCTCCCTCTTTTCATGGCACTGATACGGTGCTTCCAGAAAACAAACTGCTTAATACCAGGTGTTACTGGAATCTCTTAGAGCGCTCCAGTAGACCATGAGTGTCTGTTTAAGAGGACCTCCATCTCTGAGCTTCTCCATTTGGAAATGTGTATTGCCTTGCATCACAGATATTAGATATGAATGCATATATTAAATTCTAGCAATGAAATTTTTATGGAATTAATGGAAATGTACCTCATTGACAGAGCAAGCAGGACTTGATAACAGTGGAGAACACTCAACAGTTAATGTAAATTTCTCCCAGCTTTTACATATACTCTGAGACAGATTTTTTCTTACTTAGACTGAACACTTAACTTTCCAAAGTCAAAGTCAGACTTTGAACCCTGTTTTTTTGGACTCTTGTTGTGGAAGGTGGTTCTTGTGTCATCTGCACAGTTTGTGCAGTGACTTTGGCTGCTGCAAGAGGAGACCTCATGGGAGAGGCTCTGCCTGTCCAAGTCCTCCTGTCCCTGCTTTGATCCCTGTTGAGTGACTCAGTATTTACAGACCTGGAGGAGCTGAGGGCCCTTCCTTTGGAATAGGGCTGCTAAGTTAGACCCTTCAAAAACTGGTTTGGAGGTTTCCTCTGCCCAGCCAAATCCCAAGCAGGAGCTACCTAATGTGAGACTTTTTCTCCAGGTGGTGCCACTGTTGTTCCAAACCAAACACAGCTGTTTGAAACCGCAGGTCTCATTCGGATCACTTGCGTGTTTTACACTAGTATAATTCACTCATGTAAATGGTATAATTCCTCATTTACATCTGTTTTGCACATTATACCRCCAAAAGATTGGGGAACTCTTGGATTTTTACCTGATCTCATGATACTTGCAGTTGAATAACTTTTTAATACTGTGGGTCTGTATGTAAACATATATATTAGGATGACATTGACTTCTATATACTTTTTCAAACTTTAATTACCATAGAAACAAGATTCTCTCCATCCGGTGCCTCTCCTGGGTGCTGCTCTGGGAAGCAGAACAGGCTGCGTTTCTTCCCCACGCTCCGGTTTTCTCAGTGAGCGGCGGTGGCGACGGCTCAGGCACCATGGGTGTTTGAGAAGGAGCTGGAAGAAGCCGTCATGCCTTTCCTGAAGCGTTCAGGGTTTCCTCAGCCCTGGAGCTCAGCCAGCAGCTTTCCCGTCTTTATCTTGCTCTGTAATTACAGTGGATATCTTACCTGCTGCATTCTTCAAAGCACCAAGGAAATTAGCTCCAGAACTAATCGTGTCTTTATTTCCTAAACAGTTCTCTGAAGTGACGGGCGCTGTTCTTCCCACGGGACCGCAGCACTCAGTGCAACCTGCCCCCGCCTGCCCTTTTCCCCTCCCTTCCGTGGGGATGGGAGCCTCGCGGGGTTGCAGCAAGGGAGCAGCTGCGAGGCAGAGTGCTCCTCTACTGGAGCTCCGCAGGCCAGACCGCGCGGCCACGTGTCCCACAGAGCCGCTGGAGCTGAGCAGCAGCAGAGGGTCGGCTTGAGCTGCACCCTGCCCCTGTACAACCCTCTGTGCAGAGGCAGGGAGCGAGCGGAAGGAAGGGTGGAGCCTGGATCCATGGCTTATGCACAGACTGTGGGATGCAGGAAGTACAGGATCACTTTTCTTTCTCTACTTCGACAGCAGCTTATTACCCAGCTCCGCGCTGAGGGCAGAGGTGAGCACGTCTCCCGGGGTCCTTGGGGACCTGGGCAGGCTGTGGGTCTGCTCATTGCAGTGTTGCTGCTAGCAGGAGGCAGGTTCAGAGCGGGGCCTCGCAGCACCAACGCGCCACTGGCCCCAGCGTGGGGCCGTTTCGCACGGAGCCTCTGGCTTCGGCCTCCCTCTGCATGCAGCCTTCCCGGGTAATTAGCAAGCGAGTCAAACACAGTTAAGAAATAAATGAATGAGAGTTAAATCTGCCTGATAGAATAGAGAATTTCCTGCTGGGTGACAAAATTTTGGTTTTAACGATAGTAAATCGTTACTGTCGTTACAGTGCTAAACGTTACAGTGCTAATAATCAGACAAGAAATAATCACCACTAAAAGCCCAAAATAGGATCTGCGTTTGCAGTGTCTGTCTTATTTTGCAGAGATAAACAGCAATGAACTCAAGTTTTGCCTCAGATTCGTGAAGGATATTCTGTTTGGTTCCTGTCTTTGACAAAGTTTCAAAGTGAGTCTTTTGGGAAACATAATTAGCTACTATGCAGTTYATTACTTGCATCACACTCTTCCCAGCCCACCTTGAAGGGGATGCATTAAGACATAATGCAAAGATGCARCGCACGGTGCGAGGTGAGGGACAAGGAAGGAGCGGTAGTTCCCTTGGCTCCGCAGGGCAGCGGGCTGGAGTTTCCAGGTTTTCCTCTTGGAGGACTGACTCCATCTGACCGGTTTGGTAAGGAAAATGTTTGGCCCCATGATGGTGCTCTCCCAGGTGACGTCCTTGCTCGGCTTCATCCAGACAGTGATTTTTTGGTTGCTTTTCTCTTTGGGTAGATAACTGTGGCTTTGATCCTCAGGGCTACTTGCTTTCTACCTGTGTCCCAGCTCCTGCATCATTCAGCCCTGGTGGCTCAATTACCCTTCTCCCACCTCCCTAAGGAACATTCATGTGCTTTGTTCAGATATGGAATGTTGACAGTCTGATKATCAGGGAAGTGTGAACAAATCCTCCGGAGCAGCGTGGTGGCTTTAGCAGAGGAACAAAAGGATCCGTACGGAGGGATCAGCGCTACCTGAGCAGCAATGGCCTYGGGTGGCAGCGGTTCCCCAGACCCTTCTGGTGACACTTCCCTGTTGGAGGTGCCCTAGCGCCCTGCCTGGGACGCGCTCACGGTCAGTGTGTGCCAGCAGTGCGGAGGCCGCCCCGCTTTCCCGTAGCGCCCTCGTGCAGGGGCTGCCTCGCTGGGTCTCCTCCTTGGCTGCGGCTGTCAGAGCCCAGCTCTGTGTGGAGCAGTGAGGTTTGACCTTTCCTTGCCATCCATCATTGGACACATGATGTTTTTGCAGYTGTTTTTCCATTCGGTTGGTTTTCATCCCAATTCCAAGACCCTGGATCTCACAGGGACTTGCCATATCTCTGTAGGAGAATGTTTTAAGGCCCCATCAATCACAGCAAGTTAGTGGCTCATGCATGGATGTTCCTTGCTCTCTTTTTTGAACATTAGACTTCCTTCCTTCCTTCACATCACCAGAATGGGAGTTGCTCATTTGACAGGCTTGCAAGAACATAACATCTTACGGTAACTCAGCAAGTCTGGCAGTGTCTGCAACTTCATCATGGCAGACCCCCTTCTGCAAACAGGCTGCCCGAGTTGAGAATGGATCCAGCGCAAGGGCAGGACGTACCAGAACCGCGCGCTCCGGGTGAGCRGATCGATGGCAGATTCTGTCTGTTCGTTAAGCTCAGCAGGGGAGCCCTTTATCACAGCTGACAGCAGCAGAATTGGGTGCTAGGAAAACAACTTTTAACTTACAAGTTCAAATCAAAAGAGCCAACAACAATGGTTTATGTATGAATTGTTTGAAAGGACACATATACTTACAGGCACCTGCCTCTATACACTGAAAAAGTACCAGAAGGTCCGTGTAGACTTGCACTTCCCTCCCTCACCGGTACTGGCAGCAGGAGCCYGCTCCGTGCGTTGCCAGCACGCTGCCTGTCCTGCTAGTTCGCTGTGCAGGGCACTGCAAATACAGGGAGCAGCCAGGGCTCTTTCACACAAAACTGCTTCTGAAACATCCAGCTTGATTTATTGATATATATACTTTTTTTTATTTCACATATATCATGTTTCCATGGTGCTGACTTTTTACGTTTCATTTTTTAATGAGGGTTCACTGCGAATGAACATTAACGGTGTGGGAGTCAGTTCCAGATACATGAGACCTGCATCATTACCCTTAATGAGACAGGAGCCCAAGAGGCAGACTCAAGCTCTTGCTGTCTTTAATCCTCTGCTCTGTTTTGCACCCTGCCCTTTTCTCTCCACTTTCCAGTTTCCTGATCAGTGGCCCAAGGAGCATGGAAGGACACAGTTTCTGCTTCTTAAAGACATGCTGTTCTGAGGGACTGACACATAAACTGTACGCACATTCAGTCTTCAAATTCACTCAGGGTCCAGAGTCACTGGAAATGCCAAGACATAGGAAAAATTAAAAAGAGAATCTGAACTTCCTGCAAAGCTCATTGCATCATATTGTAGGCCTGCCAAAAAAAAAAAAAAAAAAAAAAAAAAAAAGCAGCCTAAATCCCAGCAGATATAATTGTCCTGTTCTGCAGTGTGCCTGTCCCGTTTTAGCGTACATAGCTGTGGCTGTGGTAAGGCCGTTGCTCAAAAGGATTTGTTTTGTTTTCTGTCTTTTTCTCTATGTTGTCTTGTACCCTCAGCCCACTTTTCTGATTAGAGCAGTTGTATTCTGGGGTCAGGGCTGTTTACAGAAATAAGACAAGAGAAGCAGGGCCCTTGCCCGTGGCAGGGCTGGATGGGGAGCTGCGCCGGGATGCACTGGGCAGGCGCCCACGTGGCTCTGCGCATGGGACCACAGTGGCTGCCCCTTCCTCGGTGACCTAAAATACCTCTTCTTGCTCAAAGGGTATTTCAGTGGTTCAGCAAAGGACAGAGCGCTCTCTGTAAGCTCACAAACATACATAGAACGTATAATATGAAGGGCAACATTTAATTACTAGAACTCCTAAGAATGCAGCAAGGCTAGAGGAATAGCAGTGTTTGTGTTTGTAGGGTAGGATTAGCCTCGTTCCTCTAGAGATCAGAATCAAACCTTCTTTAAGGTCATACATGAAGAGATGGATGATGTGCTTGTGATCTCACCAGGAAAGCATGGCAGTCACACCCCAGCTGACTTCCCTGCCTTGCCTTGCTGAGGCTGCCTCTCCTCTCTCTTTCTGAGTTACCCATGTACAAATCCAASCTGGAAGTATTGCACAAAGCAGAGTTTTGGGGCTCTCACATGCACTGTGGAAGTATAAAGTATTGCCATAGCATCGTAGAATGTTRTAAGTTACCAGCATTCAGGTCTCTGGTGTTTCATTCTTCCAGTGCAATCTGTAAGTGGCACAGTGTGATCTCCTTGTGTGGCAATGAGTGTGACAGCAAGGGGAAGCAGAAGGGYAGTGATGTCCTAGTGCACCTCCGAATGCTGGTCTCCAAATCTGCATGAATCACCTAACRATCGTCAAGAGGTGAAAAAGAATATAGGGAAAGAAAGCTGTAATTATTTGTTATGGGAAAGAAGTGTTTCTCCCCTTTTCAACTCCCTGTGGAGAGTTGAAAGCTGTTACTAGTTTCCAAAACCTGCCTGGGTAACGTCGTGCCATTACCAGGCGTTCCCCGTGCAGGACGGCAGAGCATGAAACCCCGTGGCCGGCTCTGGTGTGTCCTACTTCAGTCATGCAGAGAGCACCCAAAGAAATATTCACTTCCYGTGAATGCATGCTGCACACCTCCTTTATTTGTAAAGTGGCACTTAATAAATGTGAAACACCTTTGGTTATCTACATATTTCAAATTCCTGATGAGCTTACAAACAGGAGAGTCACTTCCGTAACAGGAGCTGCGCACGCTGCCCCGGAACACAGGCAGCGTGAGCCACGAGCATCCCAGGTGGGAGGGCAGTTACACAGCACGCACAAATGACAGCCTAGGTGTAAGTTACACTATGATCATCTTTCAGCAAGGCATGTAATGGCTATCAGTGTATGAAAGGAAGCTGCCGAAGGGTGTATGACCCATATGTGTTTCTTCAGATTAACTGGAGGATCTACTTAAGCTCACTCGTGAGACGCAGAGGGATGCTGAGGCTCCATGTGGGATGCAGACCCAGCACTGCGTGGAAGGATCCTTGTTCACCCACATTTCTTTCTTTCTTTCTGCATGTCAAAATTGTCCTTGATCCGGGGCATACCTGGAGCTCCTGTGCTGGGGCTGGGACAGGATGGTGGCATGTGCTAGATCTTGGGTCAGGCAGGGATTGCCAAGCTGTTTGTATGTGCCTGATTTACTGCTTTGGTAGGAGAGCAGAGGAGAGGGCGCTTGCCCAGGCTTCACTGCAAACCCTGGCTTCTCTTTAATGTGCTACCCCACTTCTCTAGCTACCACGCTTGATTCATTAAGGCTATTCTTCCATGCTGTAAATGTTGGACACCACAATAGTATTATTCTTTTATTGCCATGTTTAGCCTAGAGATTAAATGTAATGTTCAGMTTATGTAGAACATTAACTCTTAACAACAAGCAAATAGCACATTAGGAGCTTTGCTATTGAAAACATTTAGTGTGAGCCTTGCTCCAGAGCCCTGCAGGAGCCGTGGCTTACATTGCACGAGGGAAGGAGAAGTGGAGCAGGGCACACGGTGTGTGCAGCACCCAGSGCTCCTGCTTGCAACGGGATAATTTTGGTGTGAATTCAAGACACCTGAGTCCCATTCTGCCAGCCAGGGTGAAACCCAGGGGGCTGGCCAGGTATTTAAGTCACTGCCTGTGTCCCAGAACACTTGCACCTGTGAGAGGCCCCCATTCCGGCAGCACTGCTGCTCGCGGCAGTCGCGCCGCTCGCCGGCAGTCGTGCCGCGTCCTCTCTCCCAGACAGGATTTTTATGTGCGCTGCTGGTTGCCAGGGCAACAGAGGCTTTGGGGAGGCTCGCGCCGCCGCAGCGCCCTGGCCCGGGTGAGCGCTGGGCGCAGCCGCCGCGCGGAGCCGAGACGCCGCTGCACAGCGCTCGCCCGGCCGCRCCGGAGCAGCCCCGTGGCTCACTCTGCCTCTCTCCTGTTTTTGGTGTAATTTAGTGTTCTTGTCTCACCCCACAGGGGTTCCTCAGCCGGCGGCTTAAAGGCTCCATCAAAAGGACAAAGAGCCAACCGAAGCTCGATCGGAACAGCAGCTTCCGGCACGTTTTACCTGGCTTCAGGAGCGTGGACAATGAAAGGTAAGGGACCTTCCTGCGCCTGGAGGGTGGCGGGTGTGAGAGAGCAAACATGTTCATTTTTCCAGGGCGTGCTAATGTCTTGCTTAGCTTATTTCATGATATTGCTTGCTTAGCATAGACTTGCTTAACTGCAATGGAGATGATTTTAATTTGTTGRTGAGTGTACAGTGCAAGTCCTCCCTTTTTAGGATAAATAACATGTATGGAGAAGCCTGTCTATTCTTCTTTTTGAATTTTTTTTTCCACGATAGATTCTGACGTGCCGCTGCACCTCACGTAGCACGTAGATGCAGCAGCCAGCGGTGACTGATGTGCGCGAGGGAGGGAGGGAGGCAGAGGCTGCTCGCTCGCTGAACTACTCTGAGCACTGCTGGGTTGCGCGTTGTATGAACAATAACCCAGAACAATAACAACCATAATCTGCCTAAATCCCTTCCCCACCCTTTTCCCTCCCCGCATGCCTTCCATAGCCAGTGACTCCTGTCATCGCACCGAGATGGATTCTCGGCACGTGGCCGAAGCTGCTTTTTCCGACTGAGCCRTGACAGGATCTTTCCATGCAGAGGGGACGCGTTGCAGGGAGGACGCAGGGATGCGTGTGCCTTTGGATGGTCATTCCTGGAGCAGATTGCAGCAAAATGAAGGGGAAATGAGACTTTGATTAAGTTCTTAGACTAAGCTAAAAAAAAGTTTGAGATTAAAATGGTGCTTTATTAGGTTTGAATGTACTTAGGTATATGTAGATTTATGTGAATGTATGCATGAGACAGAGGGGCATCTCTAGGTAAGTTTGTGTGTAAATTCACCTGCAGGTCAGGGTAGGGTAAGAGAGACACTTGTAACCACAGAGATGAACAAGTGCTTGCTTCCAGAAGGGAGATCCATCAGCCTTACGTGACTCTCTTTAGGGAATGACATGGAAGTGCCAAGAAAAGTATGTCTGAAAAATAGCAGAGACTAAACTGCAACGAGGCCGTGCACTGAGAGAAACATCTAGCAGCTGTAGCTTAAAACATCAGGACGGCGCTTTGATCCATTGATTACACGGTTCACTTTAAAAGCCAGGCACAACTTTGTGTTTAGCTGGATTTCCTGCTCCGTTGCTGGGGTTACTTTGTGACGCCCTGGAATGACACCTCACCTGCCAGTCTGTGTTCTCCTTCCCTGTCCTTCGGCAGCCTCCTAGGCTCATTTCTGCGTTCTGCAAGTGAAAGGTTGTGCTGCTCGGCACAGAGCGGCATTGCAGAGGTTCCTGTATGGGAAGGTGGAGCTGACTGGATTCTTGTACTGCCATTTTTGTGAGTGCTCGAAGTAGGGCACCGTGTTCCGTGCGAAGAGGAGCCAGCGTAGCTGCATGCCAGGAACGTCACCTGGGTGTTGCTCCCTCCCCTGGAGGAAGAGCCGCTCTGTCRGGTAGCATTTTCCCCCTGTCTAGCTGAGTTCTGCTCGAACTGGCAGTGCCGGTCATGGAAACGAACTGCCTGGCTACCCTGCAACCAAAGTCATCTTTCTAAGCTAAGCCTTGTAATTTCCCTGTTCTCTCAGGGCAGGAGTTTAGGGGCTTGCTGGGCATCAGGGTCCTTTCATTTAGAGCCATGTTTACCACAGCTTCTCTTTTAGGAGATTTGGGGAATGGTGGTGGTAGCATTTCAGTTTAGAGCTTAACAAGTAAGCTGGGGAAGAGGTAGCATTTAGCAGCCTTGAGTAAAACCCAAGGATTTACTTACATGAGCATTTAGAAACTGAAAAAGAAAGGCTTTCGGTAGGCAGCAACCGCTCATTAACTTCAAGAATGAAACACAGATGATGCCATGGTCTGTAGGAGACTGTGTTACTCTAGATGGTTTTTGAATGCAAGGTTTTAGTCCCCTTGCTAATGTTGTCAGGTCTATAACATAACACAGGTGATCCACCTGCAGGAGGTGTGGCCCTTAGGTGCTTGCACAGAGGTTCAAGAAAGCAGCAGCGGGGCCTCAGGCTACGGCAGATCACTTATCCTCCCGGCTGCTGAAAAGAGCCAAATGCTGCGTCCTGGGTGTGAGGGAACTTGGGGCATTCGGAGCGCTCTCGTGCACTTCCTGCTCTGCTGCCTTGTCTTGCGTGAAATCCAAGAACTGCTTGCAGGGGGCATCCTGTATCTGAGTACTTGGTCTTACATATTTGGTTCTTGACCCTATCTTGTATTCAGGCTGGTTCTCTGCAAAGTGTTTGTGGTCTGGTGTAAGAAACTGTTTTAGTAGTTTACTCTTTTGGGCCTGTGAAAATTTTGTGTAGTAAATGCTATAGCAAAAAGTAGTGCAATGAATGCAATTAAAACACATGAGTTTGAAATACTGGGCAATAGTAGATGATGTGATTCTGTTACTTGACTTCTGTGTATCTAAATTGATGTTCTCTTTATATTGTTGTATAAGTTTATGAAATGCATGCCTGTATGTACAGGCAAATACCTGGCAGGGCCTAGCACGTATGTAGAGCAGAAAGGAGAATGTAAACAAATCTATGGGGTTTATCCTGTTTTTAATTGATACAGACACTTAAATACATTATGAAAACTTAAAATGGCAAACGTTTACCTCGTGTAGTGCGAAACTTGTACAATGTGAACTCTATAACAAAGCAAAACAAGGAGCCCTCATTAAACACTGAGCATGCCCCAGAATGTGTCCCTGGCATCAAGTCCCAATCGCCCTGATAACTCCCCAGCAGCAGGGCCTGGTTTTGCTGCCCACACCACCGCACAGGGCAGGGCCAGGGCTCCATGGAGGGGTGTCTGTGCTGGGCTCGCGCACCCCGCGGCTCCCAGGGTCTCCCTGCTGCTCGGCGCCTGCCTGGAGCGGCTGCGGGAACGTGCGAGTTGGCTTCCCTTCAAATCTTGGCCAAGGTTTCCTCCTCTGCAAGGAGTGTCTGGGGAAGGGCTCGAAGGGCTGCGCTGGAGACGCACGTGCTGGTCACAGTCGAGCAGAGCACATGCTCATGGAAAAGATATCACTTCTYGTGTGGTTGGATTTGATATTGATTGAGAAGAGACCTTTCCTTTGGAAAAGGTGAATGAAGGGGGTGTAGTAAGTTCAGTCAATTGCTGTGGGGCTCCCTTTGGTGAACAAGGGCAAATTTTGCCATYCTTGTGCTTTCTGAGAATTGCTGTAGAAGCCTCATTATAGTAATAAAGTACAGTGGTTGGTCGTGAATATGAGAAGCAGAATCAGAGCAAGTATAAGGACTGTTCAGTGCGGGGAGTGCGTTAGAGCGTTACTCCGGTACAGTCAGTCGGATGCTGGTGACGGGGGCAGTTCGTGCTCGGGTGCMGCCTGCGCCGGGGTGGGCAGAGCCGCGGGCAGCGGCGCCCTGGGAGGCTCGGGTGCGTCCGCAAGCAGTGCCGGCCGTGCCGCGCGCTCGTGGCACAGGGAGGGAGGGCGCCGAGGCCGCCGGGCCCCCGCTCGCCCTGGTGCGGCCTACACTAACCCCCGCACGGGAGGCAGGCTGGAAATCAGGGGGCGCTTCCCGCTTCTCCGGGCCCGTCGTGGGGTCTAGGCTACTTCTCTGGGTAAATCCGCATTATGTTCATATGCAATCAGGCTTGTGTGTGTGCATGTGGCTCTGCTTTGTGTCTGCAGGCACCTGAGGTAAAAGCGTATTTAACATTTCCTAGGAAATACATAAGCACTTAAGGTACATATTCAAAGCAACTTCCTAATTTAATAGGGAAATCATGTCTAATGTACCTGAGTAAAAGGTGATATTAATTCCTGGAAGTTTTTCTAGCCATTGTAAAATGTCGGGGGAGGGYATAAGAATTTGGAATTACTTTAATAGTCTCCTCCTCCAAGCCGCTCAGCTTCCCACTCTCCTAACAGTCCAAACAAAACAGCACGGGGCCCCTTGGGGAAACAGCTATTGCTTTGACTCGACTCGCAGGCACGTAGCAAAATTATAAAATCCTTCCTGCTTCGGCATACGCAGCACTTTGGGGATAATTGGCTTCATGCATCTTACAATTAGCTTGCAAAAATATGGTTTGTGTTCCTGACCTTTTCTGTGTAAGCAAGGCCATTGTCTGCCTGTCCTGCTTAATTACAAAATATGGTGCTGTGTGAGGGTGCAGATGACACCGTTGTGTCGTTGGCTCTAATTTGACGAGACATGGTAATGGGGAGCTTTCATACTGAGGGCACTGAATTAGTGTAGCATGAAGGCGCATTTCTCTAAACCTACTATATATGGAGAAGTTAATTTTATGCTCTTTTCGACGTTTGCAATCAAAGCATTGGATCGCAGCTGCAGAAGGGCAGCACTTGAAGAATGTCTGCTAACTGCACGTCATCGTGAGGCCTTGCTTCTGCCGGGGAAGATCAGGGTGATTAATAAATAGAAGGATTATTTTATTTTATTGTTCTTGCAGCCCAAACAGATATTTCTGGCCCTTTATTAGGTGATTCCATGGCAGGGAAGAGGTGGGACTGGCATCTCGGTTACAAGAAGACAGCCCTACTCGTACCCTGTGAGCAAGAGTGACAGCTGAGTTTCCTTGTGGCTGATGGTGTCGTGACAGTCTTCAGAGCAGAGAAATATTGCTACTCCACTGCATTAACATCATGCTTCCAAACACCCCATTTATTCTGGCTTTGCCCTAGTGAGACTTCCACGTGCGTGAATTTTGGTGCAATTACATTAGTGTTGCTCTTCAGTAAGCTCTAAGAAAAACAGAGCAAGAAAATGACAGCGCTGTGGCTCTTGTGCCACTCTCCTGCCTATTTTATGTTTAGATATAGAGAACTCAGATGCTTGTATTCCTGGCACAAAAGAAAGGCTCTTGCTCCTGGTTGCTTGTTAATGTGGAGGAGCAGCCGGGCGCTCCCTGCCCGGCTCCCGCTGCAGTGGCCCTGGCCGGCCCACGTCGAGTTTCCCTTTCAGGAGGGAGGGCATTGAGCCAACCCCCGTGCTGCCCAGCCACCGGCCAGGGCAGCCAAGGGAGGACTTCTCCTTCGAGCAGCAATGGG